CCCTGAGCTCTGTTGATAATCTATTCCAGTGCTGAGTTACTACTGCAATCTCAAAGTTCCTAAAATACCTTAATTTTTCATGCAGCTGCATTCACCTCTCACTCTGCTTAAAACCCTTCCATGTCTTCCCATTGCTCTTGAGCTAAAGTCCGAAGTCCTTAATATGGCCTTGGAGGCCCTGCGTGATTCTGTCTTTCCAGCCTCATTTTGGGCCTTTGCACACTTCCCCTGCTCGGCCCTTTCACTCTCAGGCCTTTAGTCTATTTCCTCCTCCTGGAACTACCTCATCTTCTACTCCTAAGTGTTTCCTGTTCTTTTTTGCTCTTATCCCTGTTAATTACCAACAAGGGTGATTGCTACTTCCTACAGTAGGAGTGTGTTTAGTTTTGTAAGAAACTGCCAAAATGTCTTCCAAGTGACTGTACCATTTTGCATTCCTACCAGCAATGAATGAGAGTTCCTGTTGATCCACATCCTCCGAACCAGCATTTGGCATGGTCACCAGTGTTGCAACAGACCTCTCAGCTCACAGCTATGACCCTATGGAGGATCCCTGACAGCTCACAGCTATGACCATATGGGAAATCCCTAATAACCAGCTGATGGGTGAGCAAAGACCTGAGCTTGATCCAAGGAGGTGGAGGCTGTGATGTGCAAGCCCACGTCGCAGTCCCACCAGGGGAGTTAACCTGCTCATCAGGAGGAAGCACGGCTCCTGTTACGCAGTGGGGGCAGGGAGAACAACTTGTCACCCAAGTGACTCACTGGGGTGCCTCTTGATGCTCCCTGTCCAGTGACAAATGAGTGCAGCGGCCATAGTCTGATAAAGGCAGGATGACCAGGGGTGAGAGTCCTTGGGGATGACAATATAGGTGATGCCACTGAGTAAGCCAAGACCCAGAAGTACTCTACAAGATGGAGACTCCCATCTACATGGTTGAAGGAGGAGGAGATGATGAGCATCAGTTCTGACCTGAAACCAGCATCAGTGCCCGGGGCTCACCCTCCTCTTCCAAGTTCCACTCACAGGAATCTCCACTTGCCCCTCAGTCCACCCTAGAATCCTAGAGCAGATGCTTCCAGAACTTAGAGTAGTGGATCCAAGTGGGATATAGAGCATCCTAGTGTATGCTGTGAGGCACTGCCTAGATCCCCTGTCAGCCCTGAAGGGCTTTAGTCCTCCACCTGCGGGGGGCGCTGTGTGCTCATACCCTCAGCTGTCAGGCCTTTGCAACATTTACCTTGGCCAAAGAGATTTGCCTCGCCCAAGGCCACATGCCTCCTTTCTGCTGCAGCCCACATCCACAGAGGGAAGGATAGTGTCATTGAAGAACACTGGTTTCTTAGCGATTGCTGTGTCCTCAAAACACAGGAAATATTTGCACGTGATAGTTTATTAATACATTTCTGTTTATTTGAACTGGAAGCTAGTAAGGAATGAATCTCTGAAGTCTTTAGTTTAATACCAAAGCAAGGCGCCAGCTAGTGGGGTAGGGAGGCCTCCAGGCTTGCAGCTGGCCTTGGGGGCAGGGACAGGTTAAGGCTAATAAGCCCAGTGCTCTCTACCAACAGCCTTCAAACAATTCCCCTCTCCTCTCTGAAACCTTACAGCTCTTGTTGCATATGCTATAAAATGTAATGACTTATTCTCGTTTTATTTGCTCACTCATGTTTCATTTGTGATCATCTTTTTCCATAAAAGCATATAAGCTCTTTAAGAGTAAAGGCCAGTGTTTAAACATCTCTATTTTTCTACAGCAACTGGCATGGTACTAAGAATTTAGAAGGTGCACATTTGCCAATCAGCTGACCTGTAACCCAGCTAATGGGTACAGTTTATACCTCTCATTCCAGGTATGGTGGCGAAGTGGTTTTCACTTTAACTTGCTGTGTATGTATCATGTGGAGAAATGTGCCACAGCTGAAAGGGAGAAAACCAGCACTATTGATCCCAAAGTTGTCATACTTCTCTTAGTCTCTCTCAGTCTCCCTGTTTGAATTTCCTCACAAGGAGTTCAACATTTCTTTGTTCCCTTTCTAGATGTGGAGTTAGTCACCATTAATGTTTTTGTTTGTTTGGTTTATTTAGCAGAACTATCTTCCATGTTCCTAGAATCATGAGATCTTGGCAGAACACACTCAATTTTGGGGTAAAAAAAAAAAAAAGGAAGGGTTTCCTTTTCTATTTGCTTCCCAGGCTTTTGAAATTGATTCCATGCATACTATTTCGTTGTTGTTTTTAAAATCCCTGGTTTCTGCAAATAGGGATAAGACTCAGGGAATTTTTAAGGCAGAACTCTGGCGTTCCCTGTGTTTTCTGGTTGCAAGCTTTTCATTTATAGCCCATTAAAAATTTATATCACCAACCGTGGCCTGACAGTGTGACAATTATACTTTCTTCAGTTTGCTCCATATTTTAAGGCCATTTTCTGCTCATGTAAGATATAATAGAATGAATGAGGTATGCCTATGACCAAATCTCTAGGTTTGTCAGCTAGGGAAATAATTTTTATCAGTGATTAAATGAAATAAACCAGTTTTACGAGGAAGCAACTAGCATCTACATTTCTGTAAATACCTCAAATGAAAAACAAATACTCTGGACTTTAAAAGATAAAAATCCTTGTTTATCTTCATTTTTTTTTTTTTTGCTGTGTACCTCTGAGAAGACAGGCCTTAGTCTTAAATTTAATTTTACTATATAGTAAGAACTTGGGGATAAAAAAATTCTGGGTTCAAGTCATACTTCTGCTAGATACTCTTTGCTTGTTCTGTTATTGGCTCAATTTGTTATCTGTAAAACCAAAACAAAAAAGACGATATTAAAAGGTTGTGAGAACTGAGTAAAACCTTAAATCATCTGGCACAGAGCAGGAGCTAGGGAAATGTCAGGTGCTTATTTCCTATCCTTCTTTTTAGGGATGCTGTGAAGAAGGAATCAGTAATGGTGATGATAGGATGACATCTGCCTTAGTCCGCTTGGGCTGCTGTAACAAAATACCATAGGCTGAGTGGCTCAAACAACAGACATTTATTTCTCACAGTTCTGGAGGCAGGGAAGGCCAGTCAGTTGCTGGCAAAGGCCCTCTTCCTGGCTTATGCTGTATCCTCCTATGGTCTCTCTTCCTCTTATTATAGGACACTAATCCCATCATGGAGGCCCCATCCTCTCAACCCCATCTAAACCTAAGTGCCTCCCAAAGGCCCTGTCTCTAAACACCATCCCAGTGGGGGGAGATGGCAGCAAGCCACAGTGGGTACAGGAGATGCGATGCTCTGCAGCTGCCCACCAGCAGGTGAGATAGAGATGGCTTCCTGGCAACAATATTCCCCTCCTTCCTTCCACAGATATTCACATTTCAATCAGATTTTAGTTGTAGAAAAATGATAAGAAAAGGGGAAAGTGAAAAAAAACTAGCTGTGATATAACATAGGTAATAGATAGGGTCCCAGCAACTGAAAGTTCACAATGTGAGATGAGACCTAAGTAATTAAGCAGTGAAGAAGAAAGATGTATGAATTAGGGATGGAATGCTGGTGGCAGAAAAGTCAAGGCAACTGTAATTCTAAGTTCACTGTTACAAAGTAGTGTGGTGTGGTTGAAAGTCCACAGAATTGGAAAGGAAAGATATGCTCTCAGCCTGCCATGTAGTAGACTTACGCGACTGCTAAGATGCTCTGTGAAATGAGGTTAACCCTGCTCTACAGGGTTGTTCAAGGGACTGAATGAGATGGAGCATGTGGTACAAGTTAGGATTTTTGGTTGCAGGCAACAGAATCCAGTTCGGGCCACGTTAGGCTGAGAAATAACTTACTGGAGAATGAATAGCCTAGAGAATCTCCATCAGGCCTAGAGACTTTATACAGTCAGCGATGCTTAAGACTGGAAAGAGGATCTGGTCTGTGGGCTGCAGGACTGGCCCCTCTCTCAGTGCTGGGACACTAGAATCCCTTGTGACCACTGCCACCATCCTCACCAGAATGGAATCTGCCTGGTACCTGCTCTTTTATGTCATTGGCTTCCAACGCACAGTCTGAAGCAAGCTATTCTGACGGCAGCACTAAGTCAGGCCAGGCCCTCGCTGCAGAGAAGCCTAGGAAAGAATGTCCGGTGTCTATAGGGAGGAATTCTCCAACCATAAAGGATGTTAAAAAATGCTAGGAGACAGGAAAACCTCCAACAAATTGACTACATATGTGTATGTCTTAGGTTTATGTTTATTTGAGAGCAAGGTCTTCCATTTGTCATTGAGGAGGGCACAGCAGGAGGATGAAGGGGCCCTGGTCACGGCTATGGGCTGGGGAAACCACTAAACATGGGGCAGCGTTTCTGGAGCCCACTGATGGGGAAGTTGAGTTTGACTCGTGTTGATGGGGTTCGTTAACCTCAATGTTAATCTCTGGTGAGAGTCTGGTGAGCTAGCTTTTCAGGGCAAGCAGAGGCAGCCTTCCGATTAAGTCCATTAAATAATTCAGCTTGATTTTATCATCAGCCCATCAGCCTAGCCCCTCCTCCCATTCTTTTTGTGAACACTGCAGTATAATTCATAAATGGTGCATTGGTATGTCAGTCTTGTCAGACAAAAATACTCACTTAGAATGCAGGCCCTTCCCCTGTAACGAGCAGCTGGTCAAAAACTTTTCTCCACGAAAAGAAAGAGAAACACCTGACGTCTACCTGTGGTACCTGCTTACAGGAAAAGCAAATCAACTTTTCTTCTCACCCTTTTTGCTGCGTATGAAGAGGTTTCACAAGCTGCCCTGCCTTTGCAGTGAGCAGAGAAAAAAGCACAATTCCCGTGGGCATGACCAAGTGAGTTTTCCTTTTTCTCTTATAATTGCTGACTGAAGCAACTGATGGCTTTTGGTTCCTACTTAACCTCATTTTTTTCCTCTACCAGCCCTCTGAACTTCCCCGTGCCCTGTTTGAAAATTCAGGGGTCAGCATAATTCTGCCTGTGGATCTGGAGCCAAAGTAAAGTTTGTGTGGTGAGAGTTGCCACTGTACCCTCAGATCTGGGCTCTGTCTTGGCACCAAGCTGGCATTTGACACGTGTCTCGAACAAATGACAAAGAGGCAGTGTGACCCAACACTGCAATTCCCAGATGCCAGGCTCTCCCAGGGGACAGTGAACCGGGTCACTGTTCCTGAGTTGGACACTTGGAGGAAAGCTTGGATTTGTTTGGAGCCCTAGCAGGTGGGTAATGGCCAAAGCAGGGGAAGGGGATAGAGGGGAAGAAGCTTTACTGGTCGGTGTGAATAAGGCAGCATCTCATGGGTACAGGATAAGCCACCAAGCCTCTCCGTCAGGCAGACCCAGACAGGCTGACTGGCATCACCGGCTCCTGTCCTGCCAGGCCCCCCACGGACCGCATCTCTCTTCCCTGATTTCCTTGACCTATACGCTGCCACCATGCTCTTTCAAACAAGGTTTCAGCTGCTAACACTAAAAAATGTGCGAGCAGGTGACTGATTCGTGCTTTCCTGGGGTAACTGTGCCGGGTGAGGGGCCCCTCTTGCTGGATTTCCTTTATGAAGAATGGTGAGAATCCTCTCCCAAGCTCTAAAGCTGCTCCTCTGCTCTTCTACATTCTTAGAAGTGCAAAGGGACAGGAAGTCTCTTTATAGTCGTCCTGTGCTCTCTGTGCTCCAAGGGAGCCCAGAAAGCACATGGTGTTGCTTGCAGACCCTTGGGACAGGGTTCTGTTAGACTATTTTTAAACCAGGGCAAGAACATCTGTGAACATATCAGTAGCTGCCGTGCTGTGGCTGACAGCAGATTCATGGAAACAACACGAGGGCTTCCTAAGAAATGCTTCTAAGACTGTTTTCACATTTGAAGGAGAACACGGGCCAGGAAAATAGTAAATGTAGGTTTAGAGGCCCCTCGTCAAATACTCTTGAGAATGACTGGCTTGGTGTTGCTAGTTCGTTAATTTTGGTGTGTATCAGACTCACCAGGCTGGCTTGACAAGACACAGACTGCTCACTGGGCCTCATTCCCGGAGTTTCCTATTCATTAGGTCTGGGTTGGGGTCTAAGAATGTGCATTTCTAACAAGTTCCCATTGGACCGGCTGATACTGCTGGCTGGAGGACCACACTTGGAGAACCAGCAGCCTAGTGCATTGTCCCTTCAACCTGCTGTTGGCTACAGAGTGTAACGGGAAGATCCTGGGGCTTGGAACCAGAGAGGCATGAGTTCAAAGCTTGTTCCTATTCCTGATTGCCTGTATGACCTTGAGCAAGCAACTTAACCTTGCTGGAAATTAATTCTCCCATTTGTGTTAGTACATCAGCCTCGGAGGGAATTTATGTAAAGCCCTATGCACAGTGCTTGGCAAATGGCAGGCGTTTGAGAAATGCTGATCTGCCTCACCGATCACTCCTTTTCCCTTCTGCCTTATTTATACCACTTGAAAAGTCATATTACGGGGGAATGCTAGGCTAGATGGATGCTTCCAAATCCTGACTATGCATTAGAACCCCTGGGGAAAGATTAAAATTATACTTGCTCCTGTTTCACTCTTCACTACCTGAATCAGAACCGGTGGGATGAGCCCACACAGCTAGAGACCCTCAGAGCTCCATGGGGGATTCTGAGGTATAGTCCTGCCCATCTGGCTAGTGTTGTTTCTCCCCAGGATTGCCACCCACCTGCTTGGTGTTCTCCTCATGGTGTTCTCATGGTGTTCCTAGTTCCGTCCTGATGGGGGCCTTTGCACAAATCCCTCTCTCTCTTGACTCTTTCCTCGTCTTCTGGCTGCTGAACTCCCATTCTACTCTCTCTTCAGATGGCAGCTCAGTGACCGTGTGTCTCCTCAAGGAAGCTTTGATCATCTGGTGAGGGGTGTCTATCAGAAGCTTTCATAGACATGTGTACAGCTCCTGCTAATTTACACTGGATTCCTATCAGTACCTCTACTCAACTCCAAAGCTCCAGAAGGATGAAGTGCACATCTACTTTTTTCCTTACACCTGTGTAGGTGTGTTTCTTGAATTGTGCTCCCCTAGTATTTTGAACTGCCTTCTTAAATGTGTGCAGTGTTCTTCATTCTTAGTCCTGAGTCTTCAAGAAAGAACCAGAACTCCCTTGCCTATGCGCTCTAAAGTTGCCCAGGCTCTGTCATACTAGCCTGTGTGAGACTGGTTGAGAAGTGACTATGTGAAGAAGCAGGTTCCCTGAGGGATCCATCTGTTGGTCAGGAGGGTGGTGATGGCATCAAACTTTTAGAGGACAGTAGTGATGAAGGTTCTGGCAGCTGATGTTCAGCAACATTGGGACAATCTGTTGTGTTGATGCTTTTCTTGGAGTTGGCATGTGGTTTCATTGGGAATTGTTCATGGGTCAGTGGCCTCTGAATCAGATTTTCTGTTCCTCCTGCAGATTTTGGGAGATAGCTGATATGCATTAATTGTTTTTCTGATGAAACTGGCTAGAATGGGGTCGTCACTAAGAACCCTGGCAGTTACAGGCTATCCCTGTTGCCAAGCATAGTGCGAAGCATATAGCAGGAGCTCTGTAATAGTTGTGGGATGGAATAATTTAGTAAGTCTTTACTGTGGGTAGACACTATGCATAGGAAGTTATGGGGATTTATTCTCACATATTTTATAATCTCGTCTACTCTGGTGGACTGTATAATCCCTTAAGATATTTACTCTCTCTTTGGGGAGGATTACATTTGTCTGCTTCACCGATATAGGCTTAGCCATATCTTGCCTTGGCCAGTGAAATCTGAGAAGTGATGTGTATCCCTTCTGAACAGAACTTCAAGAGCCTGCATATGATCTGCTGTGTCCTTTTCTTTTTCCTCTCTGCTAAGAGTCAGGCAATATTCAAAAAGGGGGCTGCTCCTGGGAGAACTGCAACATAGAGCAAGATGAAGCTGACCTGCAATGAACATATAGTGTGATGGAGCTGCAAATCTTTGAGTTGTCCTGTTACTTGTTTCCATGGCATAGTTTAATCTGTCCTAATGGATATACTCATTTATACATGAAGACACTAAAGACAAATGGTAATTGAAATAGGATTTGAAACCAGGCATTTTTGCCTCAGAGCCCATTGTCCCTTAAGTATATGCTAACCTGGTTTAATCAAGAATGCAAAAGAAAAAATAATCACCAATCATGTATATAATTATAAATGAGAAATTAGAAATAACCCACATTCTAAAGATATTTAAAGCATTATTAAACAGCATCTTACAAGACAATGTGTAAATGTACTTGGAGACTTGGATGAAAGGATAATTTTCTAAGTAACAAAATTAACCTCAGAAGATATAAAGACAGGAAACAGAACAACAGCTGCAAAAGAAATTGAAAAGATTATTAAAGATCCATCCACCCACCTCCATGACTCCTACACCTGCTTTCCCCTTGCTGAAAATGTCAGGCCTGGATTGCTACATGAGGGAATTCTTTAAAATTTTTAAGTAACAGATAATTCCAGGGCTATTTAAACTGTTCCAGAGCATTGAGAAATATACAAAGCTTCCAAATTATTTTTAGAAACCCAAAGTAACATTGTACCAACATTTTACAAAGGTAGCACTAAAAGGGAAACCTAGCATCCAGTCTCACTGGAGAATAAGGATGACAAATCCTAAACTAAGTATTAAAAATATATAATTTAGCAAAACTTTAAAATACAGCAAGTGAAATTCCTTTTTGAAAACTAAGGATGGCTCAGTCCTTGACATATGTTATGATAAATGCCCTATGCTAGTACAGATCAAAGAAAAAGTGTATACTCAATCAATGGCCAAAACCATTTAATTGAGTTCAATGTTAGTTCTGATTTAAAAACACAGACAAATATAAACATACAGGAAAACAATAATAAAAATAGATGGACACTATTTTCACCAAACAATAATAAAAAGTATTTAAAACCCTGAGTCAGCATTGGCTTAGGGTGAAAACAGTAGAAACTTTAAAAGACAAGGGTTCCCACTCTCACTATTTGGAGACATTTTTTGTTACAAATATAGTCTATTACAGTTAGAGAAAAATATGAATTAGAGATTGAATATAGCAAGAAAACTAAGAAAATAAATTGAAAAACTCTTAAAACAATGAAAACTCTTAAAACTCTTAAAAGTTCTCAAAAATGTATATTTTTACAAAAGTAATAAGGACACACACACACACGGAACATCTATTGCTTCCTAAAATGAAATAAGAGGGACTGAATTTATCTTCCTAACTGATGAAATGTATGAAACAACAATTTTTGAAACAATGAACATCAGGCAGTGAAAGACAAGGATTCCTGGAAGACAGAAATCAAGTAGTATAAATCCTACGATTGCTCCAGCTTTCTGCTTTGAGAGAGTTTCCAGGCTGTAGTAGAGAGTGGGGGATCCAGGCAGAGCTCAGCTGAATGCCTGGGTTGAGGAGACTATTTTTGGAAAGAGATAATTCAGGGAATAGGAGAAATCTATGATTAAAACCTTCAAAAAGTCAAGAGAAGTTACTGCATCGAGACCAACATCCTAGTGAAGGAGCAGTAAAGACAAGAAGGAATTCTTAGGGACTTAAAATAGAAGAAAAGGAAAATGAAGTTGGGAAGATACAGTTGGAGAAATCTTGGATATAGAACAGAGAGACAAAAAAAAAAAAAAAACACCTGAAAAGTAGAGAGAAATAATGGCACCTCCCATCCCATTGGGAAGAAATCAATGGAATTTCCATGGGATACAATTCATTTGCATTTCAATGGCAAGAAATATAGAAGATCAATTTATTAGATATAAGAATTCCAAGTCCGGGTGACCGGTCCTAGGCGTTCTCCCATTCCCTCCCACTCCCGGCCTCAGGGACTGCATAACATTCATCAAGGATTTTGTATCCAAGGCCCAAAAGTTTGTTACCTAAGATGATGAATGCTGACATGGATGCAGTTGATGCTGAAAATCAGGTGGAACTGGAGGAAAAAACATGACTTATTAACCAAGTGTTGGAACTCCAACACACACTTGAAGATCTCTCTGCAAGAGTAGATGCAGTTAAGGAAGAAAATCTAAAGCTAAAATCAGAAAACCAAGTTCTTGGAAACTTGTATATAGTATATAGAAAACCTCATGTCAGCTTCTAGTGTTTTTCAAACAACTGACGCAAAAAGCAAAAGAAAGTAAGGGATTGATAACCCTTGTTTAATGGAATTACTGCTGCTTTTTTCTTTAAAATT